ACAAAGCAGCTTGCATGATGCCTCAAGGAAAGAGACGCAAGCAGAGCGAAAGGTGAGTCACAACTCCATGACGACTATCTTAAACTAGCCCGTAATATCACCATCGATGGGAGTGCATATCAAAAGACTAAGTTGGAATTGAAATGTCGCTCGCTCCCTCGCTCCCTCGCTCATAAAGACCAAACAGAAAGCCTGCTTGGCTGCCTGGTTTTCTCGCAAAAGGGCGCAACAAGAAAGCAACAAAGCCACTGCGCCTTAACCCAAAACCCCCAGGCGCACACAGGGAAGATGTCCTCCATTTACACGAGGCAGCGAGGGAATATCCAACAAGAAATTGCCATGCTTCGGTAGGCAAGTTAAATTTAGATTGGCTGATGCGTCAGACCAGGAATGAGAACTCTCGGATGGCAAGTTACATGTAAGAATGGCTTCCATCATCATCAAGGTATGGTTAGGCATTACTGAGAAGGCTCAAAATCCCCGCCAAGGTAACTGGGGAGGGAAGAACCGAACATCCATCTGAACCCTAGGCAGCGGCTATGGACATGGCGAATTGACCACTAAAATTTGGGTATGCAGCTCTCAGGGTTTGGCTGGAATCCCAGCTTTGGAATCCTAGCTTCAGGATCAATTTTGCAAAAAAAAGGTGGGAAAAAAGGCAGCAAGGGAGAAAAGAAAAAAAAAGCAAGGTTGTTGTAAAAATAAATGCTGCAGGCTCACGATATAATCCATGGAACGGAAAGGGGATACCTATACGCAGGTGGATTCGACGCAGTGGGCCATATAGGGATGACAAACGAAACGTTTTTCGATTTACGTTATTACACTTCGATGTGGAGGTTCTAGAGAAATGAAAAAACCGTGCCGGCCGCGTGACAGAGATGGATAGAACGGAAAGATGGAGAGACGATAGATATATTTGAAATAATACTAATGCTACGACAATGAATTATCTCTGTGATCTACCCCGTAACTCAGTAGTGGTGCGCACGGTGTAGAAAGGCGGAAACAGAAAAACAAAGCGGAAGGGGGAAGAGGGATCAATCAACCGCTACTTCGTACTCAGGCAGTTTCATCACTTTTGTCCTTCAGCGGTCGGAACCGAGGTTAGCGAGTAAATATACCATTTTTTTTTGGATGTTGACGATGCCTTCATGTATTACTGCATTTGGAAGTGGGAAGCGGCCAGCCGCCTTCAGGATACCGCAGGTCACTATTTGAGAGCAATAATCCAAGTCGAGAGATGGACTGCATAAGCAGGGCTGGGGCGTCGAAGGTTGAAGGGCGGCGATGTCAGCCAGCATGCCAGACTCCGTAATCAACTAGCCCTGTCAGAGTTGAGTTGTATACTTAATAATAGTGTTGCATAACATCGATGCATCTGGTGGACGGAAGTAAAAGGATGCCATCATCAACCAGAATGAGGAGGAAGCTAGTCTCATGAGTATGTAAGTAAGTTGGAGGATAAGAAGAGAGGAGGAAGACGAAAAAAGCAAAGGGGGTTACTCCGTAGAGAGACCAGCCATGCGCGTGGAACTCTTCCCAAAAGGAACCTGCGGGCCTTTTTCAACTCTGTTTTTTTGGACAAGCCATGTTCTTCGAGCACTTCGATTCGTGAAAAGAGGTCATTGGCACTTGGGGGCGGCTCCTTTTGAGTCGGATGGAGGCACCCGAACTTGCCACACAAGCGGTAACTTGTCCACGTCCGTGGACCCAGGAGGGCTAATCAAGTGCCTCTTCCCCTTTCCCGTATTATTCCAGAGGGAAGACAGGCTCGAGGCGAGGGCTTGGGGGCTTTTCTTGACTCCCTCGGTTATTAGTTACCCTCCTGCCACGATGAACCGTTGTTGGCAAGGGAAGTAGTGGACGCGTGGATGAAACCGTTCACTCCGTCGTAAGAATGTGCTTACTCCGTATACTAAGCAGTAAGTACCCCTACTTATACAGCAGACGGGACTCCGTATAGCCTCAGTCAAGGTAGCAGTAGTTACGGATACTCCGTCGGCCTGTCGATACCTAAGTATGTCTTCCTGCCTTGCTCCGGGATATATAACCCCATGTCAGTCCTGGGTCGAGGTCCCTGGATCAACCCTGGCAGCCCTCGTCAGGGCTGAAATAAGTAAGTCGAACATGGGAGGATACCTGTAAAATAATAGTAAGTACTTAATATCATCGGGGCGGGCCCTGGATCGTATATCCTCCATCACCATCTCCGTCCTCCATCGACTGGCCGCTGCTTGTTCATGCGTTGCATGCGAAGGAGGAAGAAGCAAAGAAGAACGACGGGCAGCACATCCCAAAGCGGCAACTGGGGCTGCACATCTCCTTTTATGCCGTTAGTCAGTCGTCACGCCGTGGTAATACCGTGTACTGAAACCCAACACGACAGCCAAGATGGGTGAAAATACCACGTATATATATTACGTGGATGTGACGAGTTTCGCCCCTTTATCCCCTTATCCAGAGCAATATCCCATCCCCATTAATGATATTACTATCAGCTAGCCCAGAGCCCAGGAGTTGAGCAGCAGTCGTACTTAGACTCCGTAGCCAGATGCAAGTACAGTGATTCAGTCAACCCTTACTCCGTATATCCCTGACAATGGCCGTGTAAAATACCCATGATGCTTTTGATACCGGCGGCAGCAGGGGGGGCATCTGGTTGCGAAGATCGTTAATACCAGCCAGTTCGAAAGCGTATGCTCCGTATACTGAGTTAGGAACATCCTCTCTTATATGCTCCGTCTGGCGTCCTTCCTTGGGCGAGCGAGAATAATGCTCCGTATTCGGCAATATGTATCCTCTTTTCTCAGCCCCATCTCTCGCTGGCTTCGAGAAGGACAGGCATTATTCGAAGCATCTTTCTTCTCCCAGTTACCAGGATCTGGTGCGGACATGCCGTGTCCTGGCCACAGACAGCTGCATTCCTTACCACTTAAAATTAGTTGAGTGAAATATGGAAAGAGTAACTCTGTTGTTGTAAAATAGAGATCTTAAAATGTAAAGGGAGGATGCAGGTTACTGGCGGCTGGGTCTATCAGTTTCCAGTTTGAGGGGAGCTGATGATGCTTGGATGCCTTGCTCCTGTGAGAGTCATTGCCTGGCTTGCATATCACATTTCATTCATCTGCCTTCCTTCCTTTGACCCGCTGGCCCGGTCCCATAGTTACTGCCCTCACCACAGACTCGAGCTCAGAAGGGGAGGTGGCAGGAAGAGAGAAATAATAATATTAATAAAAGAGGGAGAAAAGAAAAATGTTGCTGCCTGAGCGACCTGTCGATAAGTTACTCGGTAGGGTTTTTATCTTCCGTTAAAATATGTATGCAGCCTGCATCTTGCATTCCCCATGTGCGACGCAGTCGGTGCAACTATTAATATAGGAGCCAGCCCATCCGTATCTGAGTTGTGATTGCGACATTCGCTTCGGCGAGAGTTCCGCTGTGCTGCTGCGTGCCACTGCGCATCATTTCGACTGGTATTTTTGATATCCAGCTGCTCAGTCCTGCTGTTTTGCCGGTACATGCACACGGAGAACCAACTCTTTCAACAAAGCTGTTAAGGGGTGATCTGAGCGTGTTGGCGGGCGCTTAGGTTTGTTTTTTCTTGCCCTTTTCATATGGAGGTCCCGATATCTGTCCTTTATTCCTCGTCATCGTTGGAGACCCTCCCCCTCCCCCCCGTAAAAGACATAATTAGTATCCGAGATCGTTTGTTCCACTTCTGTTCCGCCTCTGCCTTGTTGTTTCATGCTACCCGCCTTTTTCTCTGTCCTGTGAAAATCATACACGGAGAGTGATGTGGAAGCGTGAGTATACTGACATGGAGTATCACAGTTAGTGTGTCCTGTGGGTCGTGGCATGTTTCTCCGTTGATGAAAAAGAGCGAGAGTCAGAGTCGCTCTCCTGCTTCTTGCCTGCTGATCGCGCCTGACAGGAATAACTCTGTACTCCATATGTAGCCCCAAATGGCGATAAAATCGGCAGCCTATACGTACTCATTCCGTAACACGAGAGGAAGAGCATGCAGCTTGGCCGCAAGGTTCGCTCTATTTACCACTCCATCAAGTAGCTTGACGAGCGTGGCGTAGGGGGAAGCCAATAGCCCAGGAGACGAGCGATCTGACGCTGTTGGCTGAACTGCTGCAGGCTTGGGGACTGAACTTGCATGCATCCATCGCCATCCATGAGAGGCAGAGCAGCCCAGCCGGGTACCCCAGGGAGCTGATAGTGTGCAAGCCAACAGTTTGACCACCACCACACAGAGAGAGAGAGACATACTCTTGGTCGTTGTATCCTTTCCTCTTCTCCTTCCTTTTTTTTTTTTCTTCCTTAATAAATTTTTTATTTTCAACGCTTTGGCGCTTTTGATACGGACGTGCGATGTTTGTTCCCCATTACTCTGGGAGCCGGGATGCACCTTGGTCCGTTCATCCACGCTCCCGTCCAGCTGCTGTTTTGTCCTCTCTCTTCCGTGGGGAGCGAACAAGGTCAGGCTAAATCAACAAGAGAGATTGTCCGAAGCCAGCGTGTGATTTGATCCCTGAAACAAGAGCCTGTCCTGACCCCCTCCGCCTGCTCTCTGAGTTTTCGGCTTTGGTCCAGCAACCTGTCTTTTAGCGTGATACCGCTAATGTAAGACACTCCACGGGCAAATATTAAGTCGACAGGCAGTGTTCAGACGAGACTTTCCCAAGCGTCTTCCTGGTGGTGGTACTGGTGGTGGTGGTGGTGCTGCTGCTGCCACCCCCTTAAGCCGTATAGCCCGATGCTGGTTCTGTACCACAACCACCCATCGAAACCGCTGCGTCCACATCGAAGGAGCCCAAGAAACCCTAGATAGACCCACGCTCTCTCGCGATCTGGATCCAAGCACTGGATTGGCGTCTCCGAGAGATTAAAATACGGCGGCGCGCATCACGTCACAACCGTGGATGGCGGGCGGTTCGGTGGGCGTCTTTGTCGTTTCTTCTTCTTTCTTCTGGGCCTTCTTTTGGATCAGACTACTCTGATATTTCTCTCTGTAACGCTATGGGGAGTGCGGAGACCTCCGTACGATCCGGAGGTGTATGTATTGCTTCTTCTTCTTCTTCTTCTTCTCCTTCTTTTCTCCTTTCTTCTGCTGCCTCCTGGTTCATCCTCATCTTGAGTCGGAGAGGTGACCGACGCTCCTCTGCTCTGGCTTGACGCTGAGCTTCTTCCAGCAACCCTGAACTGCACTGAACTATCAAGGATCCCCATCGCCTGGTCAAACACAAACAGGCCCGGGTGCATGGCGGCTGCTGGAGCCATGGGTCGTCCTGCCACAGTGCATGACGCTGTTCTTCTGCTTGCTTGCAAAAATGAAATAAGAGTTATCAAAAAGCAAAGAAAAAAAATTATATTATTCAATGCCCGGGTGGATGGGCCTGGATACTCCGTCCGTTCCTCCACTCAGGCGTCTTCTCCTTCTTTCTGCTTCCTTTGCATGTTTCTTTTTCTCTCTTTGCTTCTTCTGCTCCTGTCTTTCCTTTCGATGATGTCGTTTTACCTCCATAGTTTTTTATTTTTAATTCTTTCTGCTGCCTCTTTTATTTTTTTTTTTCATTTTAATTTTCACAAGTAAGTAGATATTCACTACCGCCCGATCTCCACAGGGCCAGCCAGGCTATTATATGAGATCTTCTATATGAAATCAACCAGCCTCTCAACCTCTCTTTAGCCCGTTCAGGAGAACTCTATGTGGGCTCGACAAGCTGACAAGCCTGCCGGTCTAAACGCTTGGTATCCGGGAGAGCTCTGTGTGTGTGATATTATTGCCCAGGGGACCATCCATATCAAAGAGTGGACTTGCTGGTCTGCCTTAATTTTTCATGCCCTTTACAAAGACCGGCTCTCCCCACATCGCAATGGTCCCTGTCCCTCTTGTCACTGCTTGCTCCTTTTTTCTTTGCTTTTTCTCTTGAGCAAGGACTACTTGAACGGTTTTATTTCTCGCTCGTCATATGAGAAAACCGGACTGTCTCAATCGGCATTCATATATATGTATATGGCAACCGCATCTCCATCTCCGTTGCTGACTTTCTTCCTCTCTTCTTCCTCTTTCAATACATCAACACAACGCCGGTCCTCGTGATACACTCAAAACAACACATACACACCACGCAGCCAGACTCAAGATATACAACGGAAAGATGTTTCAGCAAGGCTCAGGTTATCTTGCTGCTGCTGCTGCATACCCTTACTCAGACACCTTTGATCAGGATATCATCGCTTCGAGACAGGCTTTGCAATCTACTGCCAGAACAATCAGTGCCGAGGCCAGCTCCCGTCTTGCCAGCATGGCTCATCACTCTCCAGAACATACCATGTTGGCTCTATCAAACAGGCCTGAAGTCCACCGGAATGCCTCGATAAGCGCTGCTGGGCTGTCTCGTCCTGCCTACTCTTCACCAAATACCCCCTTTTATCACCAACAGTGCGCATATCAGCCGGCTTCAGTGCCTGCTACGACTATGGCTGCTTCCTCATATTTCCCAAAATACCAGCAGACCCAGTTCTCTCAAGAGCAAACGGTCTCCTCAAACTACGTATACTCTTCCGTTGACCAGTCATTGTCATCATACTGCCAGTACCAAATGACACCGGATGGCTATTACGACACTTACTTTCCTACTTCAACTATGTCAATGGCCTACACTCAACAACAAGATGTAGACATGACCTCATCTACCTACGACGCCACGCCACTCTCACATGCCCAGCACTCTCTACCAGCAATGGAAAGCAATACCGCCTTCTCTACCCCTGATTTGCCCGCCAACCAGCAATTTCCTGAGCCAAAAACCCCGCCTCCACCAACCTCGTCAAACTCTTCCTGCGAAAGTGTCCGAGATGAAGATGATCTGGTCGGCGTTGGGCTTTATGACGAGCCACTGCCCACGTCATACTGGGACGAATCGCTATCCAGCTCGGTCGATCCGATCCTGTATCCTTATCCAACTACACGCAAAGGTTTGAAGCTAGAAGAGACTCTCGACCCATCAACTTTAAACTGCAGTGATATGGACGCAGATGGCGACGAAGAGGAGGAAGGAGACGAGCAACCTCAGAAGGAACAGCCTGTCAAGGGTTCTGGTGAACCCAGCAATGCAAACAATCTGAACACTTCAAAAGAAGGCCAGTTGTTCACAGTGGACGATGATACTTCATACAGTAGTGCCCAGGTGAACTGGACTTCTGCGCCTCCGGTTATGCTCAATAGTTATGCTGCATTCCCTGGATCGTACCAGAACGTCTTTCCTACTATTTATTGAGACCCAAACTTGCGAGACCAATCAGATCGGCTGGGACGCTCTTGTTGGAAAATTTTTATCAACATTTTTAGCTAGATAGATACTTTAAACCGTATTTAATACTACTATTCTTGGTCTCTATTTCTCTCTTCTGAACGTAGAAAACCCGCCATTAAGTACCATGAAGTCGATATTTGCAAATTCAAACGATAGCCTTATGTCGGATTAGTCATATTTTAATTAATTTTCATTGGTCAGGTTCTATCAAGCTTTTAAGCTTAAGCTAAACTTTAATTTTCCAAAAAAAAATTAAGTGATGTCAATTTTTTTATTTTGTATTCTTCGGCGAACTTCTGGCAAAGGAAGGTGAGTGAGTTGAGAGAAAGGAGGAGGGAGAGAGGCTCCGGTATTCGGAAGGGCTGTTGGATATACCCATACCCGCCGTTGTATTTGTCGGCTTTTACATTCCATATCAAAGACCGACGTGTCATGGAGAGGCCAAAAATAACGCCGTGGAAGGACCTGTCCCAACTTGTCTCAGTTCGAGAGCAGTTCTATCGCAAGTCAGACGATGACGAAGATTGCCGGGCCAAGGCTTGTTCGTTGGTGAGACGCGATATGTCCTATGTGTAGAAAGCAAAACCAAGCTATGTCATTTGCCATTTCGCTGATAGCGTTTCGTTTTTTTTGTCCTAGGTCTGGGTATGGAAGCTCAGAGGAAATCTACCACATGCAGTTGAAGCTACCGCGCTGCTGACGGACGCGATATTACACGATGACCCAGAAAAGAACTCCATATTTTCGATTCGTGCTGCTTACTCTCTAGCTTTCTGCAGGCAGGTTGCCCATCCGCTGAATTGCACTTGCATGTACTAACCACCGCTTTTGCAGATTTGTAACTGGTTTGGTCGACTCAAAGCTCCATGGCCGGAAACAGTCCATGTATCAAAAGGCAATGGCCGTTGGCGTACCGGCTTCATTTGTAGAGCTACGCCATGAAGCTACTCATAGGGACTTACCGTCTCTTGTGGTTTTAAGAGATGCTACTAGACGGTCAATGAACTGGCTCTGGGAATTCTACTGGGATAAGATTGACCTTGGCAGCCGCTGCATATGTGAACCCTCCCCGGGAGATGAACCAGAACTCAACGATGACGAGAAATCAGACATCTTGCAGCAGAACCTAACCTTCCTGATTCACCCGCTCATCAACTATATATATATAACAGCCGGAATTCATGGACGCCAGAACCGAAGAAAACAGCAGCCAGGAGTGAAAGAGGGTGCCATTCAAAACATCGTTGCACTATGTCGTAAAGAGAAATTGGCTGGAGCCCAGCTGGTAGAGATATTAATAGATCGGGATCTTGGTCACCTCAGTTCGTGCGGTTACGGGTAAGTCAAGCCATGTATCTCTTATTGGGGTTTATCATACTGATTTTACCCCCTCTGAAGGAAGGATGCCATGGGAGCCGAGGAGGAAGCTGGGGCACTATTCGTTGTTTGGGATGATGTATTGAAGGAACTATCCCGTTCCTACGAGCCGTTCCTTACTTTGTTGGTGGAAGGAATGACAGCCGTCTTAGTCTCCGCCGATGCAGACACTTTTTTGGATGTTGAGGATTGGGATGACCTAGTAGGAGAGACCTTCGAGGAAGAACTATTCCAGTGGCTGGAACATATCCTTACTGACGACGCGTGGGCGTCACTATGCAAACAATACCTTGTCCCAACCCACGCTAGAGCTGTCTGCCTTGAATCAGGCTCGGCCGAAGGGTTCTGGGCTTCAGAGATAAGCCGTATATTGCCGGGCGCCTATATCCCTCGTGAAAGTGAAAACCACACACCGTCCGGCGCTCCAGACGCCTCGCTTGATCAAAACCCGGACATAGCTGTGTTACAGAACTACGGGTGGGATTTTGGACAGGCGATATCATGCAGGCCGATAGGGGCCAGTATAGACCCCTGACTACTAAATATCGCAGCCTGAACAGTTATTACATTTTATATCATTATTAATCACCTCAGCTTCGTTGTACGGAGAACGGAATTCGGGGGCATGCCGCCAGACAGCGGATGGTCCGCTATGTGCGATGAACATCCATGTTTGCATGTTCAGAAATTGCTGCAAGCCTGTTGGTCGAAGCTGATGTTGTTAATTAGTAAGCCAGAAACCGCCTATCATTTGCTGCGCCTTTGTGACTTCTGCTTGATAGTGTATATAGCTGGGGTCTTGGTGTATATAGACGGTCTGGTCCTTGGTCCGTTGTGACGGAGGTCTGAGTAAGCACATTTTCTTCTACGTAGGACGCCTGTCGAGATCTCAAGCCTGCCACATCCCCCTCACCAACCATCTTCCTCTGGCCTTCATCTCTCTCATGAACGTAGGAAAAGCCCTTTTCTCGCGCCGGTTGATATCAACAATAGCCAAACGCAAGATGCATGTCGAGTCGATTCCCATGTGTGAGTAACCCAACCAAAAACCCAAACTGCTGGCTGTAGGTTGTTGTTGACCATCTCACCATGCAGGGACCGGTACCGGTAACAATTATGCATATCTCATCTCAGATGATGCATCCAAAGATGCCATGGTGGTAGATCCGGCACATCCACCAGAGTGAGCACCATCAGAAGCTGATCGATGCAAAATGATCGCAGCCTTCTAATATCAGTACAGGGTGATTCCAGTCCTCACATCCCACATCAGTGATGGCAAGATTAATCTAAAAGCAATCATAAACACTCACCAGTAAGTTTGTCGCCTCTTTGCAGTTCTACGGGTACAACACCCAAGGCTGACCGTCCAAATAGCCACCATGATCATGCTGGCGGGAATGAAGGGATTGTATGCGACCCCCCATTCTGCGTGCTACAGCCCACTTTTCACATCTGGAAGACCACTCCAATGTAGCACCTGTGGACGACCCGCTGACAAGAATTGCCTTGATATATCTATAGCTCAAACAGTTTGGCAAACTTTCGGTGATTGGCGGGAAAGACTGTGCCCATGTCACCCAAACCCCCGAGCACGGCGAGAAGTTCAAGATTGGGGAGCGGATCACTGTTACCGCTTTACACACCCCTTGTCATACTCAAGACAGCATTTGCTATTTTGCCGAAGATGGGAACGAGCGTGTCGTATTTACCGGCGATACGCTATTCATTGGGGGTAAGTTATTCCAATGAAGCAACTTGCTTTTTACGAGAACCGGTAGTGAGGAATCCTGTTTAACACCTAACAACAATTGGTACGTATGCATGATGTAGGATGCGGAAGATTCTTTGAAGGTAATGCAACAGAAATGCACAAGGCACTCAATGAAGTGCTTGCCTCGCTCCCAGACGATACCAGAGTATATGTGAGTCGCCTGATCTCCGCTTGGTAATTTTCGCAGCGTGTGACTGATATTTATGATAGCCTGGACATGAATATACCAAGTCAAATGTGAAATTCTGCTCCACGGTTTCCCAGTCAGAAGCTGTTAAGAAACTGGAGGAGTTTGCCAATAACAACCAGCAAACCCAAGGAAAATTCACTATCGGTGATGAGAAGGTATGTTCTTTGTGTTGCTGCCATCGTACCGAAGCCTGTTTGTGGTTGGTGCCATTGTCTATTTGCAAATGGTGCTAACGGCTCTCCATAGCTCCATAACGTCTTTATGCGTGTCACGGTAAGGATACGGCTACCCCCAATCCCCCGCCTTATTAACCCTATTGATTATATGCCACTGGTAAATTAACATTTGCATATAGGACCCTGAAATTCAAAAGGTAGTAGGGGCAACTGAACCGGTCGAGGTCATGAACCGTTTACGAGGGATGAAGAACAAGATGTAGTATAAGGTACTAGCTGGCAAACAGTGACGTGTATGCCCAACAGTAACTATGAGTATCAAATGCATTAACATAGCAACACAACCGGCATACTCATTCGAGGCTTATTTACATGTGCCCCAATCTTGAAATATTATATTTTTCACAAATTCTGTCCCGGTATCTGCTCATCACCCGGCGTTATATCCAACTCCGGCCAGTACTAACGAGTCTGCCTGGCGTTGGCTACCACACAAGTGGGAAGGTAATCCATTACAAACCAACAAAAAAGTAAACTTAAGCGTTGCTCTCCCTTGGGAAACCTATCCCCTACCGAAGAGACCGCGAAAAGGCTCTCCCAAAGAGATTGTGATGGGACTGGTAACAGGAAACACTAACGTCAGCCTTGTTTAACCTCGTCCTACTTTGACGGTTAGACTAACGGATACAACATCACCGCGATGTGGGAAGCCGGAATCGCCAGGCACGCCATTGTCAGATTGCTTTTGTGTCAAGGCGGTAACTAATAAGGTCGTGGACTGCAGCTGACTCGTGTGTGTGTGTACAGAGTATGCCTGATATATATATAAATCGATCAAACCTTGGTAAAGAGAATGACCTGTTCTATTTCCAAGTTGAAAGAGGCAAGGAACAAGGGGTAACAAACCCGTACTACAGGGGAACCGGAAGACCACTCTTGTCCTACTAGTGTAGTTTGCCCTATCTAGGCGTCTCACACAGGATCATAGCGGGATTTAAGATATTAAACGGGAGTGAATCGGTTGAGAAAATTTTAATATTGGTACCAACACCGTATGCCCGTTGGTGACTAGAACGACTATAGCCATAAGTCAGGTTGATATGTCTCCCACACAGCCACTTATCTTCTCATAACCCATACTTAAATAGATGTTAGAAGTTAAGACCGGCCACCCGGGGTGAGTCTAGCCCAATGGTAGAAGAAGATTGGTGGCTGAGACCCGTCAGGATAATATTGCTTCAGTGTCCACACCTGCTCGTCCTGGAAGGTCGAAAACGGCAAGTTCTAGCATTGTAAGAAGCGAGGGCTGGTTCAACTGGTTGGAAAGAATAAGGATTCTAGGTCTTGATGGGTTAGCATTCTTTTTTTCAGGTACTTGGGTAAGGAAGATCCAAGGTCAGCTTCGTTGCATAAGCTGCCTCTCATCATCGTAAAACGCTATCATTAGCCATTTATCATTAGCCATTCAGGCCAGCAAATAACTGTTGTCATCTTCAATTTCGACAGGTTCATTCAGAGTGCGAAAATTTGTATAAGTCGAAAATGGATGGACCTGACGGTTAGCATCGAAATGTTAAAGTGTTACGGGCTGTAGGCTCTAACCTAAAATGGAACGGAACGGAGAATCTATTATGGTTACAATGTGATTACATAATATTTGTTAGATTCTCCAGCTTCATCATGATGGGAAAAGTCGTTGATAGACATGAAGATGCAAAGAAATTGGCAGCAGATATCCGAATGACCAGCCGTGCGTTCGGGTTCGGTGCGCTGAGCCGGCACAAGCGCGCATTTGTATATACCCTCCACCTCGCAGGCACGTTCTGCTGGTTCAAGATATTCAATGAACATTTCTACGAGCTCAAGGCCTCGGATGGCCCATCTATGTATCCAACCATTCACTTTCAGGGGGACTGGCTATTGATATCAAAACACTACAAGAATGGACGTGACATTGGGTTTGGAGATATAATTGTCTACAAGAAACCACATGATTTCCACTCCGAGGTTGCAAAGCGAGTTGTCGGGTTACCTGGGGATTATGTGTTGAAGAACCCTCCATTGAACGGAGAGACGGTTGTGGAGCACGATGCACAGATGATACAGGTTCGTTGGATCGTCTAACTATTTTATTACGGATAGCCTGATATATTCCTGACGTGTTCTGCTGAGAGGCGTTTTGCTAATGAATTATCATATGTAATAGGTCCCCGAAGCCCATGTTTGGGTAAGCGGTGACGATGCACCATGGTCGATAGATTCCAAGGACTACGGGCCAGTACCAATGGGCCTCATCATAGGCAGGGCTCTAGGAAGGGTCTGGTATCCGTTTAACCACGAGCGATTTGAAAACACGTTGAAGCCAGTCAGGACAGCTGAACCATAGATAATATCGTCGTTGGAAATACAAAATCTACAGGGCAAAGCTATATAGCAAGTTCTACTCCTAGTTTTAGAGAGGTTTGCGTATGGCATTCAAATGCTAGTGTACAATACTATAGGACAAGCAAAATTATATCTTAATACATGAATCCTGAACCAGGAATTATCTGAAGGAAGCTGGATTTCTCCTCTTATACGGAAGCGGCTCAACGCGTTTCCTCTTCAGCTCAAGATCGGCTCCTTCGATTCCAAGCTCCTCCATGACAGATGCCATGTTGTCATCCCACTGGGTTCTGAATAGGGTTGCGCCAAGTGGCTTCAATTGGTGCCTCGTTTCTAAGCTTCGGAGGCGGGAGTCACGGTTGGCCTTCTCCGCGACAACATTTCGATCCAATGGCTTTTGATCCTTCTGCTCCATCACAAATATTGAGATTCTGTGGTAAGGGCTGCCCTTTAACGAATAAGGAGCTGTCCAAGGAAGGATAACTTGAGACTCAGAAAGGCCTTCCAGAGAAACGGAGGTTGAGGTAGGCGAAATTGGGACATTGACAGCTAGGAATATAGCCTTGTTGTCAAAGCTGTCTGATTCCAAATTTGGTATGTCTGGATCAACAACGGCAATAGTGACTAGTTTTTCACCTTTATCGAAGGACTGGATATTGAGGGACGGAGGCACCATGCTGACACGGGAGTCAACGAACACGCCTGGCTGAATTTGTTTCTTTCCGAAAAAGAGCTGGACATCCACGATAGGATCAATATGGGGAAGAACATCGGGAATGACTTTCATCTGTGTCAGTCGCTGAATGAGGATCAATCGTCGGTATTCCCTCCACTTCTGGTTGGCCAGATGTCGATAGATGGGCTTTGACATATCGCCTAGAAATCGTGAGGTTAGCCTCTGATCCGCCCTGGGAACGTGCAATGATAATAAGATCGAGGACGTGTATTACCCATTCCATCCTCGAATCGCTTCTTAACCAAAGGATCATTGATGTCTGCCAGAATCTTCAATTTCTCCAGATGCTTTTCCATACTCTTGATCCTCGTTTGATGTTGTGCTTCTCCCCCAACTGTTGCTGGATCTGCTTCACGTAGCCTAGCCAGCCGCGCCCTCTCTTTCTCAATCTGCTGTAGTTTCTCTTCACGGTCCTCCTGGAGGACTTTTCGTGCCTCTTGGAAGCATTGGAAGGGTAATTGTTCGAAGGGGTAGTTTGGTGATCCTTGGAGCGCAGCACGACGTCGACGAGAACCGACTGGGAACTTTCCCGCCCGTATAAGCCTTCTTTCGAGGCGAGGGCTCGATACTAATTCCGGGTCGATGGCCTTGTAGAACGACTCTTTGGAGGCTGCTGCTTCTGTTTCAGCACTGGTCGAAATAGCTGCGGTTGACGAGAATGAACGGTCCAGCCGCAATTGCGACGCAGCGAGACGGCCTCTATACGCCTGTCGAAGGCATTGCAATATCGGCTTAGAAGCCGCTTCGCAGTGTGCCATTGCTGCTATGCCTCGAACAACCCGAGTTATGGTAGTGTTCAATTTGCGGTTTTGCTCGGTCTTCTGGCCGTTTTTTTCGCTTTCGCTTTTTCCTCGAGAGCTTTTTTTTTTTACCATGCAAGAAAATCCGCGCTAGTGCCGAAAAGGGCATCCAGTCAAAAATCTCAAAAAACTGCGACTTCATATTCTCAACTTCTTCGAAGCACCGACAAGACGCTCCTTGACTGACTTTTCCGTTTTGTTCGCTTTCGGGATGGCTGCAAGCAAGCCCATTGGGAGCCTGAGATTGCTGTTACGAGGAAGTAGAGGTGTTTTTGGCAGTCAACTCGAGGCATCAAAGGTAATGATATATGTCTTCCTGTTGAAGGACTCTGCGCATCATAAAGATCAAGGGCTAACGGAGATTGATTACAGCAATGTATGGCTAGCCAGCAGACTCGGGCGATGGCCACCGAAGCGAATCTGCGAAGCGGTTCGATATCTACAGCCCAGTCACCTATAATCACCAACCTCCGGGACGACATTCCAAAGCCAGTGTGGAATCCCGCCCCTGCCATTGTCACGCTCTACGATTTCCCCTCAATGGAACCAATCCAGTACCTCGAATATAAGCCTGAGCATCTTCTCCTTCCTCTGCGCCGTGATATATTACACCGTGCTGTCATCTACGAAGGTGACAAGACCCGACAGGGTACTGCGAGCACAAAATGGAGAGACGACGTACGGGGTAGTGGACGCAAGATCAGACCGCAAAAGGGCACTGGACGAGCTCGCCTGGGTGATAAGAAGTCACCGATGCTAAGAGAAGGCGGTGTTGCCCATGGACCTCATCCGCGAGACTTTTCGACCGATCTGCCACGAAAAATTTACGATAAGGCCTGGAGAACAGCGTTAAGCTATAGATACCAACGAGGGCAGCTTATTGTTGTCAATGACAACATCTCCCTAGAGCGTGGTGCCTCTGTTCACTTACTTCACGATATCTTCCAAACACACGGTTGGGGCAGAGAGTTCGGCAGGTCTTCTCTTATTACCGAGGTCAAGAAGGAGAGGCTTTTCCGAGCTGTCGCAGAGATTGGCCAAGAGGCAAGGGCTTTGGATCGTGCAGATGTTGATGTGAAGGATCTACTCGAGACCGGACGATTGATCATTGAGAAGAAGGCCTTGGACAAGATGCTCGCCCTTCACTCGAGTAACCTTGGCCGTCCACTGGGTAACATGTGAAAGGGCTATCTATGGGCATATAATGGCGTACTGTGTAATATATATTTTGACTTCATTATGTACCAGTAAATTTTTCATGTTTTCATCCTACAGCTTCAGCGGAAGTTACAAGTTATGGCCATTACAACAAGCAAATTCTCAGACTAACAGGAAGAGTACATATCAATTAGAATAACCATATATCATATATATAGCTCTTCTTGTCTGATGCCTTTTGAACGTATGTGCTTTTAACCCTGTTTATACCTATCTGCGTCATCCGTACCGAAGCTCCGCCGAGGGAACGAAACCGAACTTTTTTTTCCCCGTAACTAAACTCCAACGCTGGCTTTCGGCAACCAGAAGCCGTTTAACATCCATCGCTCGTACCGTTGAGAAAAACCCAGGAATCCTTTCGGTTACAGCGCCTTTGCAATGTCACTCCTTTTCCTCAGGTCCAACTGTGTCCGATCCTCTACACCGTCGAGCTGGCTCTCGCGGAATCTATCGCCTCAGATGCCACTACGAGCCAAACTCGAGAGCTCTGCATTTAGCGGAAAGGCGAGGGTGAGTGAATCGCAATGAATCTCCGTGATTTTTATTCATCGTCCATCTTTATCTAATGAATCATGTTGCTCGTGATAGATGTCCTCAGCCGCTTCCTCTACCGGTGCGAAAGAGCTCCCTGGCGACGATCCCGACGATGTCCTCTTTTCAAAGCTCTACGGCGTCAGATTGATTGAGCTCAACCGACCAAAGAAACTGAACTCGCTCAATGGTTCGATGGTGCGGAAGATTCTTCCTAGACTTCAGGTATAGCGCCCCCAGCTTCGATCATATCCTCTAAATTCGATTCTAGAGCGGATTGCTAAGACATGTAATACTGGATTTAGGAATGGGAAAAATCACAACTTGCCAACATTGTGATGATCTCCGGCGCCGGAACGAAGGCATTCTGTGCTGGCGGAGATGTAGCCGAACTCGCAAAGCAGAATACAGAGGGGGTTAGCGGCCAGCAAAAATCCAGGGAATTTTTCGGTCAGGAATACCAGCTTGATCATTATATTGCGACCTACAGCAAGCCCTATGTTGCGATCCTGGATGGAATCACAATGGGCGGCGGAGTTGGGCTCAGCGTGCATGCGCCGTTCAGGATAGCTACCGAACGTACCATGTTTGCAATGCCTGAGACCACCATCGGCTTTTTCCCGGATGTTGGCGGCTCTTTCTTCCTCCCACGCCTCGATGGAGAGATCGGTACATACCTCGCCCTTACATCTGAGCGTCTAAGTGGTGTCCAGGCCTTCTATGCTGGTGTTGCAACTCATTACCTTCCATCCAGCGCGTTAGGAAACCTTACTACTCGACTCTCCGAGTTGGTATTTAGCGATTCTGCATCGCTGCGCACCCGTCTCGACCTCATCAACAAGACAATCTCCGAATATACGGTTTATCTCCCGCCCCTGAAAGAAGAGCCAATGCTGCTATCCGGCAGCCTCCGTAAGTCAATAGATCGATGCTTTTCCGAGACAACTGTCGAGAATATCATATCTGCGCTGGAAAAGGAGACGGAGAACCCTGAATGGGCACAGAAGACTCTCAAAACGCTGGCTCAACGCTCCCCTATTGCGCTTAAGGTCACGCTCCGTCAACTTCGTGTGGGCAAGTCATGGTCCATCGCCGAAACATTCCAGCGAGAGGACCAGATTGCCGGACATTTCATGGCTCACCCAGACTTTGTTGAGGGCGTCTCGGCCAGGCTTGTTAACAAACCGCCAACCAAACCAGTCTGGAAACACGGGTCACTTGCTGAAGTCACTGATGCTGAGGTAGACGAGTTCTTCCGTATCCCTGAAGGCGAGAACCGCCTACCATTATTGAACACCAGTACGGATTACATGGAATACCCACATGCCAAGTTTGCCCTTCCTACAGAAGGTGATATCATGAAATTTGTCAGAGACAATGCCCCCGTTCGTGCGAGCCAAGTCATCAAGGAGTTCATGGTACGAACCGATGCGAAACTTGGGGTAAAGGAGAAGGTCCACGAAGTCTTGAGCCGAAACACGAAAGAGACGGAGGAGGGCTTGGTTTTGAATTAACGGATGTGCAGTAGACATCTGAACTCCCATTGTATTTTTTGCATTCTTCCGTTCCAGCTAATAAATAGAACAGGTCATTCGCCAGTATATATACAACACCGCGTTGCATTTTAGTTGGTACAATACTTATGTTGCGAAAGAGGTCCTGAATTCTCCTTGCTACCTTGATCGTAACAGAGTACATAAAGAAGAGGCATCGAGCCTTTATTGTAGGGTCGTAGGAAGTTCAATTTGGTTGTTTTAAGTGAGAGTAATACTACTTAAGATAAGAATTAATAGTCAAGCCAGAGAGATAACTTGATTGCACTCCAGCTTCACTGGGAGGTTTTTGGGCTGTGCTGACTCTGACGGGTGTAGATACAGGAGAATTCTTCTAGTACCGTTACCTGCGTGCCGGATGGTATATTTTTTGGCTCTCAATCTGTGGCAGATGCCTATCACCGTCGAATATGAGATTCGCCTTGTGGGTCTGGAGAGAGAGGCTTGGCATGAGCCTTAAATCAACCTGGACACGAGCAGCGATGTTCAGTCATATTCAATAACCATATGGCGATCAAGTTTTTGTCGAGATATCATGACAGCAGTGCCTAAGTCATGTATATCCGCCGCAAAAACCCTACCCAAAGGAGGCCGCTGTAGCCTCGTCTCTATTACTGTCAAGTCCTAATCCTCTGCACTTTCTATAGATACCCATGAATCTTAAGAAGAACGCTGAGCTTCCTTGTTATGGGTATAAGCTCTCTGAGAGCAACCCCATCCTCACCTCTCTCTTTTACCTTTCTCCCGTCATTCGTGTTCATTTCTTAGCTTACACACCTGTCATCTCTTGATGCCAATGCATTTACCAACAGAATGGGTGCTACTACTAGGGGAGCAAAAAATATTAGATGTGTATAACTACAATCACGTACGTTCCTTGGAATTGCAGAAGCCCTGATACAAGTATATAGACACAATACTACAACTGTGAATATGTAGCATGCTCTTGTGGTTATAGCCCCTGGTTCCTGGGTCGGATGTACTCAATAACTAATGGATGTAACTACTCATTTTTGACTAGAGAGGGCGCCTTTCGTCCACCCCCCAATAGTAATCCCGTCTATCGCATTTATCTGCATCTTCATCACGCACAGCTCCATGTACCAGCACTTTCTTGTCGACAAGAACGTCTCAACGCCGTGTGCTGGTGGGGACGACGGGGTGCTGGGCAGTGCCGGTGAAAACCCCACTCGCCGGCTCCTCTAGCATCAAGCAAGCTTCCATGGTGTAGTTGGTTATCACGTCAGTCTCATATTACTAAGTATGAGGAGCAGCTCAAACTGTTCTGACATCTGAAGGTCGCCAGTTCGAACCTGGCTGGGAGCATTTCTTTTTGTCTTTTTTTTATTCCTTCATATTCTTTTTTTCTTCCCCGACAGATGCTTCTGGGATTATCATTTTATTTTATTTTATTTTTTTACAGGAAGGTGTTTCCTCCTATCATGATTCGCCGTTTGTTAATCAACTAAGGATGCAAAAAAAAGGGGGAAACCGATTGTGACTATCACCACCACCACCACAAACAACCACGGCTCAACAGAACAAAACAGAGATAACGACAACATCATTCATTCTCAAAGACCTCCCATCTGCGGAGCTGTGTAGAGATATGCTTCCATAACTCAATCAGCATTGTCGCCACGTCCGCCGACTGCGTTCCCTCCGCTAGCTTAAACTGGACCGTCGGTTGAAGCTCGCGCACATTCTTCACATCGTATAAAAAGGAGCCGAACACTCGTCCCAGAGTGCGCGGCGTCGGAAGTGTTATGCAGAAATCACACGATGCCGTCCCTGGAGGGTGAAGATACTGGTGCGAGACTTTCCGGTCTGCGCACTCGTCTGCAGTCAATGCCAGGAGGCCAAAGATCGCACAGATTAGCTCCAACTGCATGTCCGTTGTCAGCGCCAGCAATGCCAGAGTGATCATCCGGACCTTTGCCGCTACGGGCATTGCTACGCCCTTGATGTACTCCCTCCGGCCTGGATCTCGCAGGTCTCTCATCTCTGTGAAGTTCTTGCCGTGGATCTGCGCTAGAACGCTGTACAGGGAGGACGAACCGAGGATACCACCGGGCAGCTCGCAGAGGAAGTGCCTAAGTACCGTGGATATGTCCTGGACGTGGGCATCGCCCTTCGTTCGAGCACATTTATACACATAACCCGATGGAAGGCGAATCGACCTCATAGTTCGGTTGATCGTGTCCTTTGATCGTTCGGCTCTTACTATTTGATTTGCGTAATGGCTGTAGAGCGCGAGAACAACCGACTCGTCGCATGCGCTGCCGTAGCCGTATGGTGCAGAAGTGCCTGGTTGAAAAGGAAGAGCCATCTTTCATCAGCTGTCAAATACCCTTTTGAGGAAGAGGCTCGGTTGGACGGGGACCTACCATGTTGCAGCAGAAAATGGATTGGAGCTGCCATGCAAGTGGGAAGCCGAAGTATTCCTGGCTCATATTCCCTTGGGAAGGTGATATTACTCTCCCCTCCCAGTCGTGCAAGATCTTCAATTGCCCTTCCTTCGAGCATGCCAAATTCAGCATGGGCGTTTATATTCGCCATGGTCTTGATACGTCGCAAGCCGTGTTTACTGCCATCCTTACGTTTAACCGTCAGGTTAGACTTGACCTTACGCAGCCGGTTAAGCAGCGAGCTTTGCCTTGCGGGTGTATCCGAGTTTTCTGTGACCACATGAAGTTAGTGTCTATTCGGCCATGAGATGCTTTCATCATGGAATGTTCTGCCCTACCTATACCAGGCATTGGTGATATCTCCTTCAAGATAATTACATCCAACCCTAGATACCGAGCAGAGCCATTGAATTTGAGAAGTGACTGTGCTTTAATCAAACCCCTTCGCTCTTCTCTGCTACCATCTATTAGCCGCGGGCGCGCTGAAGCGGAGGAAGTACTGCTATCGCTCCTTCGTACGGAGTGCCTCCTACCGCCTCTCCCGAGTGCCTGGTCTCGATCACAGTTATCATAGCTGTTGTTCGAGTTTTCCATTTCATGAGCAAAACATTGAGAAGACCCCAAGGGAACGAGGACATTGCGCGACCCTGTCCACGGCTCACTCATTGTTTTACTGTCGGAAAATGGGTTTGAATAAGCTTCAGATGGTGTCACCGGGACTGCTGGCTCAAACGGGCTGAAGGCTCGCTTTGATGGATCATGGTTGACGGTCATGTTCGATTGCTCCGACAGGGCTGTGTAGCTGCTGGTCTTGCTTGATATCCCCATGCCATTGTATACATCTTCGCCCGTGGTGAGGGCGAGGTTTGTTGTCTTGGTATCCTGGTAGGCCATAGTCGGCGCGTCAGGATGATTGTATCCATGTGGCAGCTTGGGCCTGTTTGGAGAGCGATCAGGTATAGCAGGCGGCTTATCTGCAGGCTTGTCCATAAGGCTATCCCCTTCTGACAGGTGAGATTGCAACTGGACCACCAGGTTCACGGCACTGGTACTTCGCAACTCGACCATAGGAGGATGGTCGCTGTGTGCTTCGGTTTTTCTTGTTGATATTTGCGTAGATTCTCCTCTGTTATCGGTGGGTATGCCTGAATCCCGGACCTTTTTTGGCGACAGCACGGCCGAATGAAAGACCTCCTGGGAAGAGGACGACCTAAGGCTGTCGCCTGAGGTGTTAGCCCTCCTCCGCTGTCGCCTTGCATTCCGTCTTGCTTTGTTATAGAAACTTGTCAAATAGTTATATGCTTCTGAGAGGCCCATTTTCTCCTTTATCCTTCGTCAAATCTTGGATGGTTTTGCTGTCTCGTTATTATTATTATTTACATCTTCTTATATATAGCATTTCCAGAGATAGGGGAAGTTGTTACCCAAGAGTGAGGGTGAGATCCTTCCTACTCTAAAGACTCACAGCAAGGGAGAAGGCAAGAGCTGCAGTGAATAGAAAATAGATACATATATTAAAAAATGGACAGTATCGAATGGTTCAGGTACAAGAGGCAAAAGTCAAGACAGAGAACTTATTTCCAAACAGCCTCCATAGTTTGGTCTTCTATTCATGCATCATCATCAACGCCGAAAATCTCCGTTTTACCCAATGCCTTATTATTCGGGCTCTTTTGCCCATCCCAAAACATTAGACATGTGTTTTAGAGCTTTCTTTGAAGCCAAAATCACATATATGCGGGCCATTAAAGGTGGAAATGAAACCGTTGGTAAACGAAGACAGTGCACATATGACGTTGTAATGCATTAATCCCAACCCAACGCCGCCATGGTCAATTGAGGAGTAAGGTAAAAAAAAGGAAGAAGAGAAGTAAGAAAATGAACGAGTCCATAAGAACAGGAACAAGAAACGCCAAATTATATGCACATGCACATGGTTCCTTTTCTTTTTTCTTTTTTCTTTTTTTTTACATCATTTATCATGGCTCGTCCTGTTCACCATCTAGCAGTAGGTAATGAAGGATATCACTTAAAGCAAGGACTCCTCGGAGACGGAATTGGTCATCGACAACTACCAGGCGATGCACCCTAGATCTCCGGATGGTGTCAAGAATGGTATCCAGCCCATCATCGACTGAACAGGTATAAATTCCAGGGAAGTCCTGTCCATACCTTAGTTAGGAGTATGCTAAACAAGTTCGGAAGTGTAAAGTTTGGTACTCACGGGGGAGCGTTTGTTCAGTACTTCCCCTACCTCTAAATTGAGATCGTCATATACCCCTCCCTTAATTAATGTGATCACATCGACAGCTTCGAATACGTTGTATACAACACCTTTCCAAGACATGGTCAGCAACGTGCCACTACTACGGGGTTTCAAAATGGCACATACCTTCACTGTTAACAATTGGTACACTTGATATGCTCCTTTCAACCAACTTATGTATAACATCAATCACAGGGGTATCCATAGAAGCCGTTACTATATCGGTATAAGTTCCAAGATTGATCTCCTTTAGTGGCTTCCGCAGCTTTTGTGTCTCTGCCACATTCACTGCAACAAACTTAAGAAGGCGATATTGTGTAAGTACGCTGACCACCAATGGCCTTTCAGTTTGACTGTCATATGAAACCAGGGGTACACGGCGTGCCCTGGATGATAACATGCTGCGACATGCTTCGTATAATGGGCGCTCTGGACCAATAGATATGGTTTCTGGGGGCGCTACGCCGAGCGCTCGTTCAACTTCTGTGAATACATTAGCAACAAGTCCCATAGGTAGAAGTGCAGATGGGGTCCCAATACATACCTCGGAGACTATTCAGCCGAAACTGGTCTATCTTTGCCAAAGCCTCCTGGTGCTGGAAGTAATACTGAATTACATTAATATAGTCGGATGTTGTCAGAATACCTGCGAACCTCGAAGTTGTAGAATCCCAAAGAGGTGCAGACACAATTCCTATACGCCAATAACGAATTTGGTTTTATTGGTTAGCCAATGACCTTTGCCGAGTGATAGCAGGGCATGAGGCTCGAGCGAGAAAAGCGAACAGCCGAATAACATACCATTTTGAATAAGAATATTCAAACTCTCTTTCACTGATAATGAGGTGTCGAATACAATAAGTCGGAAACTGAGCGGCAGCACGTCATAGCTTGTGCGGACTTTTAAGAAATTTCGAATGGCACGCTACAAGTAACGACGAATGAGTTAAACCAGGCAGAGAAGACGCAGCGCGAACGAGAACGAATATGTTCGGTTGAAAACGGATTATATTCTTGTTATAACTTTTAAACAAGGGATGAGGATGGGTGTCTTGTATCTTCGAATCTGGGGATTGGCCGGGGTATATATAAGTTGGACATGGTACTGTCTCCTCATCATTCTTTTTCTTGTCCTAGGCCAGAAAGTATAGATGTATATAGCCCAGTAGAGAGAGTATTCAGGGAGAACTGAAATCTAGGGAGGGTTGTAGCCCGCTGGACATAGTGACAGTCCATGCCACAGCTGGAAGCTGGGTTGGATAGAGGTAGGAAAGATGGTGTAAAGGTCGAACAAGGGAGAGACAAAGAATAAAAACATGAAACAGATATAACAGGAAACAGATACGGGGCATAGGAGCTTACCAATGCCTGTCGTTCATCGTCATCAAATACTCTTTCCTGCTGTGTGGGGGTCGTTGGTCGCGAGTAACCTTGGGGTCGTAGATAGGAAGATGGCTGTACAAAGGGGGCCTCATGACTGCCCTTGGACCTACTATGAGCATGCGAGCTCCCTGCATTGGAAATCGGGGAGTCGGAGTGCCGGGTCGGGTTTGAATATTGCTGGGATAGTGAATCTTCCATACTCGAGTTATTCCACGGAACTAGGTAGCCGTCCGTTTACCAAACAAAGAGAGAAAGGCTAGCTTGCCACACTGGAAGCTTTAGCATAGGCACTCTTAAAAGCCCCGCGGCTATTCAATTAATCGAAAAGTTGGGTAGGTAGGAGGAAGATAAGAGGGGGGTTTGCGGTCGGTAGAGGTACAGCTCTACGGAGACTTGGTACGTGGGCGGCTGTGCTACTGAGTCTGAGGATGATGTGAAGGAGCCGATGTTGGAGTTCCGATCGAAGTCAAGGGTAGTAGAGAAGCTGTATCTGGGGTCACCGTAGCCATGCACCAAATTGAGATGTAGGATGCTCTGTGTTTGAGGGAAGGGAAAGAGGTGGAACAGCACGATCGATAAGCTGTTGTTGCTTGGTGGGGAGATATTGCTTTCCTTTGGAACAGCCAAGGTTACAGGCTAGCTTGCGCCCCGGATCCTGGGGGAATTGAGACGCTATCGGCCTTGCGCAGATATCCAGTTGCTCGGCAGCAGGGGAAATACTGAGGAGACACCGGAAGCAGGGAGTTTGTGATACTTGATATAAGGCAAAAGTTGCAGCGTCAAGAAGATGCGAGCCGGCGTCTGTTCGGGTTTCCATTTTTGGATGGGGCAGACGCGCGGCCCGAACAATGTTCCGAATATGCTGATTCAGCAACCAGGTACGTTGGATTGAGTTCGTTCCAATCTATAGACAACATATATAGAGCTTGCTAAACGGAAAGAGACCAAGGGAGACAGTCAAATGAAAATGCTATTAGGAAACTATGCCTTGGTCTAGAGGATAATGCAATCAGATGAGCAAGAAAACGCCTTTTAAACCTGCAAGCAAAGGAATGCAAGAACGGAAGATGCAATGGGCCAGATCCAGTGTCAGGCATGCTCAAGCTATAATGCAAGTTTCTAGGTTCAGAGAATAAAACAAGGGCATAATATATATCATAGGAAGAGAGAAGTTTAGGAAATCGTCGCAGTGGTCGCGGGCTGGGGCTTATCCGAATTGCCAACAGCCAAGTTCACCATTTTCTCCTCAAGCTCGGCCTCGGCTGCTGTGGGAGGCGTTTCTCGAAGACACTTTCCGGATCCCCCCTTGAGGTAGTCTTCGTGTTCACCTATAAACTTGCCTGCCTGAATCCACCTCTCGCGGTATGCCTGCCGTTTCTGAGCGGCTAGGGCATTCAAAGCTGGCCAGTAGACAGAATGGTCATACTCGAACTCAACATCTCCACCAGTTGCTTTGAGAAGTTGAGAAGGCGGAACATGCTGGCGCATGTCTTCATTAAACTTCAACTTCTCCCTCGTCAGCGGGTCGATAAAAGGAGTGATCAGCTTGAAGAAGCCAAGAATGAAGAAGGACACTACAACGGATTATAGATTAGACGACAGATCCTGTAAAACAGCAAGAAGGCGTTTTATAAAAGCACTTACTATTAATAACTAGAGCCCTGCCGAGGCGCTCTGGGTAATGGTTTTGTAGGATGCTCAGAGTTTGTCTTCCCTGAGACAAAGTCGCATTCTGTCCAGAGCTGGTCTCCTTAAAATTCACGAGCAGTGCAAGAGACTCTTGGCCAGGGCCCATGAGATCGATGACACGTTCAATCATGAAGACGAGATGTTCGATCTGACGGGGACTGTGTTCGGTATTCTGTTTGCTAGGATTAAGGTACAGGCAGGGCCTAGCATGAATGTCATAACCCAGGATCACCTGTTTGCCGGTCTCATTCTCAATTGAAATGTATTCCGGAGTATGCTCCTTCACGCCGTACTCGCGACGCCATGTCAAGGTCGCCTGCAGTCGGGTCTCTGCACTAGCAACGTTCCACTTTGTAGCACGAAGGTATCGGAGTAAGCATTCTCGTGTGAGGAACATGCATTCGTCATCGCTAAGTGGCTCACGGGGTGCATTCTTTGCTGACGTAGTCGGTATCGTGGTCCACCCTCTCACCAATGCTAGGAGGCTGTCGTACTTAGATTTCTGTTCGGCAGTTAGCTCTGCTGGCGGGGTAGGCTTGCAAGAGTCAAGTGGTCCGCGAAAGAGAGTTTTAATCAGCCCGTCAGCTGCGGATAACGGAAGGTCGGAGATATCAACGGTCTTTTCTGCGGGTTCGGGCTTTTCATTCTTATTCGCTTCCGTTTGCATGGTTCCTTCTGGCTTAACGTTCTCCTTTGCAAGGTCTTGTGGCGGTGCAGCCGTGCCTTCAGAGGCCATATTGCCTTTGCCAGACCGAAGCAGAGCGTCTTGACCAAGCGCAGCAGAAATAACAGACACAGGCTGCTCTTCTCTGTAGCCGTCGTCTTGGTTGTCGGTTGCTCGTCGTCTGTTGTGTTATTATTACGATATTCTTACTTGCTTCAGGAGAAAAGGGCGCCAAGACCTCGTTTCCAGGGGAGCTACGAGTGGCAGAATCTCACCGCCTTCGTTAATTGAGGCGCGTCTTTTTAAACGCGTCGAGAATGCCAAAATAGGCAACTTTTGACATCTTCTATTCTTTTGTATGATGCTGGCGGTTTTTTTATATTAAGCACTACATACCCATATAAGAATAGTTCAGTCGATAATGGCTGAACCAACGGAGCAACTGAATGAGCTCTTTGGAGGCTCTTTCCCCGATGGCCTTCCCCAGGACGTGTTGGGCGAGTTGTTGTCCATTCTGCAACTCCACGCAATTGAACCTCAGGAGCTCTTTTACAAGTGGGAATCTTACTGCTTGAAAATGGCCGGTGAAGAGACGGTTTTGAATCTGGACACTGTTCGCTCCTTCAAGCGCAGCCTTCATGATGCTATAGAGAGAGAATCGCGAGCAAAGACCCAAATGCGGGGGACAGAGAAACGAACTACGGGGCCAGCAGCACCTCGTCCTGCTGCTGGAGCGAACCAGGGGATATTTGATATGTAATTACTGCAAGAGAAAACATGCTGGTCTTATGAGATGCTGATATCACTTAAGGTTAGATGATTTTGCACCCAATACACCGAAAAGGAACGCGAGTGGCTCGACAGGAAGCTCCGTAAAACGAAAGGCATTTGACACTCCTACAAACCCAAGGTTTAATAAAGGCACGAAGCTAGACTCACCAGGAAGCGTGAACACGCCATTACGCACTGCCGATAGTGCCACTAACGGGAATTCGTATGGAATCTTTTTCACGCACCATTAGAAGCCGCTAACAATTGAAACAGATCTACCCCATTCTCCGCACGCCAAAACAGTGGACAAGTTATCGAGACGCTTAACCCTGATATGAGCATGGCATCTGCTCCTCTGGCCCCCTACTCGGACTCCCGCATTAGGCTGACAGCCAATACCGACATCAAGAAGTTTTCGTATAAACCCATGGCGATGAAGTTGTCGGAGGCTTCCGAAATTCTTGATGACCGAATAGACGAGTTCATGATGATAGTTCAGAGCCACTACAAAATGGATGATTCAGCTTTTGGCAATGCCGCTCAGCAAAGCACACGGGAGGTTGTTGCCGTGGGAAGAATAGCGTCAGATAGCCCTGAAGGGAAGCTGAATACTGCCTCTATTGTCCTCGAAACTTCTAGGCGAACAGGGGCCGGTTTACGTGTACCACTGAAGATCGATAAACTCCAACATATAAACTTCTTCCCTGGCCAGATTGTGGCTCTCCGAGGTATAAATGCTTCTGGAGAGTACTTTACAGTATTCGACGTGTTGGCTATTCCACTACTACCACTGCCTGTGTCACTGCCATCAGAGGTGGAAGCCACAAACGAAAAGCTTGACAGCTTTGGTGATCAGCCATTGAACTATATGTTCGCAGCTGGCCCTTATACAACAGATGATAACTTAGCGTTTGAAGCTCTAAATGCCCTCTGTGAGAAAGCTGCGGAAGAATGTGTTGATGCGCTCATATTAACGGGGCCGTTCATAGACTTGGAGCACCCTCTTATTGCGGCAGGTGATTTTGACCTTCCGGAGTTGAAAGGCTTAGATCCGGATACTGCAACCCTCACCACCCTTTTTAAACACTGCATCTCGCGACCATTAACTCAGCTTGCTTCAAAGGTACCGAATATATACATAATACTGATACCTTCCGTCAGAGATGCTGTTAGCAAGCATGTTTCATGGCCACAGGAAATCCTTCCTAAAAAAGAATTGGGCCTGCCTCCTAAACAGGCGAAAGTCGTCACAAACCCTGTTGCTATTTCATTAAACGAAATCATGGTGGGCCTGTGTGCTTCTGACTCATTGTATGAGCTGAGACGAGAGGAGGTAGTGGGCGGGCGGCCAAGTGAAAGCGATCTACTGAGCCGTCTGCCAAGGTATCTAATTGAGCAGAGACATTTTTCTCCAGTTTTCCCTCCAACAGCCCGGGAAAACCTCCCGAAATCTGGCGTTGAAGAAAATCTCCAAATAGGATCTATGCTTGATACTAGATATCTTAAGCTTGGGGATTGGTGGAAGGCAAGACCTGATATCCTAATAACCCCCAGCGTTTTGCCGGGGTTTGTCAAGGTTAGTATAGTCCATCCTCAACATGTTTCCATGTTTTGTCTAACGGGTCAACTTAGGTTGTTGAAAGTGTGCTTGTCATTAATCCTGGGAAATTATCCAAGCGGCGAGGTCCTGGAACTTATGCACAAGTTTCTGTTCATCCTAAAAGGCTCACTGAAGAAGAACGGGAGTCGAAATTTGTAGGGCACAAAGTATACGAGAGGGCAAGGGTTGATATAATTCGCATCTAAACGCATCTTGCACATGATTTTGGCGTTTTACTGTTTATTACCTCAGAGTCTGGTCTCTGTGATGAGATATTGATGAGAACATGTAATAATGTATGAATCCTAAACACACCCCGGGTATCTATCTTACTCCGTAAACAATGAAAACCGCTAGAACTGAAAATTCAATGACAGCCGGATGTAATATTATCATCTTAAACAAACCATCCGCTTTCGCCTCCTTGCGTTACTTCCCGGAAGTGCTGCTGTGCCGCCCCTTGCGCCTAGTCCAATATTATTCCCTCGTCGAGCGGGCCTGGTTTCGCCTCTCTCCCCCTGCACCAGCCGCATACCACTCATCAACTCTTCTAGTCCCAAATCCCGCCATGAAACCTGCCTCCTTGAGTCCATGGCTCTGGTAATGCCAAATGCAGCATGCTGGTCCGGAACCACATCGTCTTCATCTTCGGGGTTAACTGGTTGGAACTGCGGCTGAACGAAAATATCCTCTATAGGGAGAAACGAGGGGATGTTGGCGGGAGATGAAAGGTCATTCATCGCATTTATTTGCTGCTGTTGCTGGGAATCAGATGTTTTCATGGACGAAGGAGTGAATAACGAGGTATGTGGGCGGTTGAAGTCTTCAAACACATCCGCCAAACGCGGATGGTGGAGGTGAAGGTGTGTCGCGGAAGAATCTTTAGACTATTCAAGTAGTTTAGCCATTGCGTCTATAAATAAAGGGATTAGGAGAATTGCTATGTACCATCTTCTTATTTTATCAGGGTTATCTTAGTATATTTCTTGTACTTTCGTACTTCACAGTATCGTGTTGTTGTTGATATCAAGCTATTTTAAAGTTGAGCCTCACTGTTTTAACTTTACAATCACGTGGTAAAATTACCGTGCGGTTCCTGACGCAAGGGCCAAAGGTAAGACATTCAAGGGAAAGATAAGAAAGAATCTGTTATTCGTATTTGCTTTTGGAAAAACCCGGCAAAATCCCATATTATCTTATTGACCGTTATCATCTTTATTCCATGACGCCACATACCCGCAGATTGGATGCTTCATACCCTTGTAAATCAATGCAAAGAAGGACACTGGAACGTATAAAATACAGACACGACACGGGATCCTCGTTGCCAATAGAATAAATCGCGAATCAGAAGATAATAGAAAACTGATATTGGCTCCTTCGCGATCATCAACCTGGTCAACCTGGTGCTTATTGTCGTTGAACTGATAAAAGTTGCCATTTAGAGCCCTTGAATGCACAATACTTCACAGCTAACTAGGTGTTACCAGTTTAGCTCTGGTTTTCGGTGCTCATTCGGTGGACAACCGGGACAGCGCTGGGTGGTAAGCTTCCCATCTCTGTGACAACCATGTCAACGTATTCCGCAGGGGTAAGATCGTGCATAATATTCAAGAGCTGCAGGTTAGGCATCTCGCGCCAATTTTCGAGGGGAAGCTTAGGATTTTTCAAATGTGCTGGTATTTCAATAGCAGAAGATGAAGAGCCCTTGGATGTTTCGGGCTTGACATTTGTGACTGGCGGAGGGAGGTCTGTAAGTGTTGTACATGGTTCGGCAGCCACCAGTTCATCGGCCTCGGCTATCTCGTTGACAACTATGCTGTCCAGTGCAACACGGTCGGTGAATTTGATAGTTTCACAGCATACAATGACAGAAATGTTCATTCCTCCTGATTTTTCCTTGGCCGACATAGCTACTAGAGCAGTGCCGACCCTGGAGAATAAACCGCCATTGCTGGTCATGGCATGCGCACCGAGGAAAACTTTCGTCGCATCTTTGACAGCCTGGCTTATTCCATTGATAAGAGAATATTGAACCCTTAGTCCCGCCTTAGCTAGGGTTTGGGCAAGGTTTCTCCCTTCGAACAAAGGACGGGTATCAATGATTGAGACACGGAATTTTTTCCCTTGTTTATGTGCAGTGAGTAACGTCCTCTGGACCACACTGCTGCCAGAAAAGCAGAGTATAACGTCACCATCATCAATCTTCCCGGCAGCACTATTGGCAATGACTTGGCCTGCAACAGTGATCTTTTCACGAATAAAATTGTCGATGAAATCATAAATCTCTTGTTTAGCATCTGGCTCGGGAACAGAAGGGTCGATAGACGAGACAATCAGCTTTAGAGCACGGATTGCGTTTCCCTGGCTGATTGCAAGGGGTCGGCAACTTGCCAAAAAGGCGATTTGGTGGCCCAGATGAGTTGTCAAGTGTCTGGTTAAGGATGTTCCTGGAGGTGTAATGTATGATTGAACAACCTTGAACGGAAACAATCAGTGATTAGTTCCCCCTGCGCGGAAATATTGACAGCTAAAGGTTGACGTACCCGTTTGAACGCTAAGAGTGTAGCAACGCATCGGGCACTACTCCCACAAACAACATAGTCCTTAATCTGCATTCCAAGAGACAGCACCGCAGGATGAACGTCCTTGTTTGCGCCCGCGATTCCAGTCCTCCTCGTATACCAGGGCAAATGGCCAAAGACAGCAACGACCTTCTCATCAACGACTTCTCTCCTTTTCTTCTTAGATGATGTCGACTCTACCGGCGCAGGCGGGGTAGGTAACGTATGTACTGAACCATGCCTTGTTATTGACGACTTGCTCGACGACTTTGAAGTATCTGATTTAACAGAAGCAGCCTTCTTTGGTGTCAACGGGCCTTGCGGTGTCGAAGTAGCTGAAGAAACGGTTGAACCAGTAGAAGCAGCGTAAGGAGCAGTATCGTCTTCTTGGTCTTCGCTTGTGGGACGAGGACGCTCCTGTTTCTCCTTCGCGCGCCTCGCAGCCTTCTCGGCTTTTGCTCGTTTCTTCAGTTCAGCGCCGGAGAGCTTCTCTGTGCCATCTGGAGCAGCTGGTTTCTCCTTTGCCTGTTTTTGAGCGCTGGCGGGCTTTGGAGTTTTTGATGGTGCTGTGTCGACTGGTGGAGTAGATTGCGCACCTGGTTGTGTCGCGGCCGCGGGCGGAGCTGGAGCGCTTGCTTGGTCTTGCGGGGTTGCCATTGTACTAGCTGTATCTGATATCGGGATGGCAAGCTGCTCGCTGCTGCAGTCACTGGCCGTAGCCCTCGAGTCTTCTTCTATTGCGAAGGCGTTAGCGGTGGTTGTTGCTGTGGTTGTGGTGGTGTGCGGGTTTTGTGCTGGCGCCGGAAGTTGAGTCATGGTGGACACTCATAACTAAAGCTATCAGACACAACAACTGCAGCCAAGACACAGACAGGACAGGGCAGATGGTACAGAAACCACATAGCAGAGATAGATAGATGGAGTTATATATATGTACGTGAGTGACTATCGTTACAGTGAAGAGCAGTCAGGTTCAATAATTAATATTAGGACCCAGCGACAGCCCTTGTTCATTTATTTATTCACAGGCTATCTTGCCAATTCCACCAGTCGACAAGGAAATATCACAAAAGGGGGAATAGAAAAAGAGGGCAAAAAGGAAAAGAAAGGTGGTGTATCAAAAGGGGGGAGAAGAAGAAGAAGAAGAAGGAAAAGAACAGCTCGAATATTTCAACATGCAAGTACTCCACGCCCGTCCTGCCTTGTGGCCTTGAAAACACAACTAGCATAACCAAAAAGCCTCAGGCTCCCCCAGGAAAGAAAGGATCGTATCTGTTTGAAGTAGAAAAGTGAGGTCAGGTCAGAGGTCTCGTTTCTCGTCATATAGGTTTGTCGTTCATCGTCAGTTGTCAGTTGTTGTTGGCTTCAAGTTCACCGAGTACCTTTCTGGCAGCATGGCTAGGCCGGGCAGGTCTCTTCTTGACGCCAAATCGTTCACAGTCGTCAGCAAGTTTTTTGCGGAACATGTTCAGGTCGGAAAGAAGGTCTTCCATCTCAGCTTGGACTTCAAGGGCTTCCAGGTCGAAACGGCTAAGTCCAGGTTTGCTGTCTCCTATCTGGTCATCAAAGCCTGGAGGGGCAGTGTTTTCCTTCTCTGCATCTTCCTCCAGTATTTCGATGTTGCCCTCGTCCTTTGCGAGCAAGGAGCGGACACTACTCTGCCTGTTTCTCTGTTTGGGTACTTGTACCGGAGGTATAGGGTTCTTCAAACTCTCTAATGCCAGCTTAAGGTGAAGACGGAGAGCCTCGTTTTCGGTCTGAAGTTGTCTGATCTTGGTTTCACTGACCATCTTCATTTCTTCCATCAGCTGCTGCATCCTGGTCACCTGTTTTTGGTACTCTTCTAGTTTTTCAGTTTGCAATTCGCTTTCTCGCTTCGTTACTGCTTGCTGGCTAACGCTGAGCTGCAGCGTACGAATCATTTCGGCCATCTCTGCGATTTCAGCATCTCGTTGTGCAGCAGAAATATGGTCCTGATTGACAACAGCACGGTTACGGATGCGTTTGGCCTGGTTGGCGTAGCGAAGTGTCGAGAGTGTCTCGTCATAGTCCCCTGGGGCAATGCATGCTATCATCGCAGTCTTTGAATTTCCCCCTAAACTGTCCTTGAGGAGCCAGGTGAGAATGGAGTCTCGGTAGGGGACAATATCCCTGGCCTTGCGTCCATTTTGGCGCTGTTTAGTGTCTGCCAAAGCCGCAATTACTCGTCCCAATGTAGTCAATGACTTGTTGATATTTGAACCCTCTCGCAGTCTCTTTCCAGTTGCCTCCGTGGATTTGGCCCGTTCGGAACCAGCAAGATCTACCAGCCGGATACGGGCAACTCGCTCCGTAGTTTCATCGGAAGATAAGTCGTGGTGAATCTGCTTAAGCATAATGGTGAAAACAGCATGCGATCTCGAGCTGGTATCGTTCATTTTCGTACTGGCAATTGTGCGAGATGCGTCGCCTTTCCGCATGTAACGCATAATCTCATCAATATTCCGAACTGGTACGTCCGTTAGATCCTTCACATATGGTCCGTCTGTGGGGGACTCTCGGATTTTAAGGTAATATGGAGGGTCTGTTCGAGGAACTAGCAAGTCACGGACATGTTCGTTGTATACCTCAAAATAGGAAACACGGACATTGTAAGTAATATCCGGCGAGTTTGAGTTCTCAATGCGCTGGAATAGATCCTCACATGTTCGAGGAATCAGTCCAGGCTGTTCCGGAGTACCCATCATTGTATAACTCTTCCCTGATCCCGTCTGTCCATATGCAAATATACATGTGTGGTATCCTTCAAAGTTGTGGTCCAAAAACTCTTCACCCAGACAATTATAAACATCTTCCTGTTCAGCATAGTGTGGATCTGCCCTGTTGTGTGACCAGAAGGAGTTGTCAAATGTGAAGCTCTTGTCTTCAACAGCTTTACTTCTGCTCTGGGCTCTTGCATTAGCGACGTTCGCATTAACAGACGATGGTGCAGACAACGTTGTCGATTGTGTCCGAGGGTTCATCGAAACCAAACATTCCGTCCCATTACTTATTTCTACCCAATTACGTTAGAATTAAGCTTGAAAAAGGAGAATATCTGTATCCAAATGGGGAACATGTAGGGGGTCAAACCTCTCGGTAAAAATGCTCTGACACGCACAACGACCTTGACGTTTCCTCCGCTGCTTATTGGCGCGTCGACCTTAGGTGCGGGTGCCATGACGCTTTCTCTCGATCGAAATGAAGGTGTGGATGCGGTCGATCTCAACGCGGCCGATGATGCGGATGTAAAGGAGGCCATGCTTGGTGTCGCGCCAGGATAATAATATTGTGCCGGAGACTCGACGGGCGGAGTGCAAACTCTGCCCTGGGAAGCAAAGTGATCAGATTGGCCTCCGATGTTGCTGTAGAAGCGTGGATCCAGGGCCATATTCCTACTGTCGGACTTTAATATATGGGCAAATTCGGAGAGAATGTCATGAAGTCGAGAAAGATGGTTATGAAACATGTAGAGTGAGGAGAAGGGTAAGAAGAAAAGAAAGAAAGAAAGGGAGCTGTGATGTGGAGGATGTGTGGAGGAATGGGTGTAAGCGGAAGAGACCTGGTCTCGCTCGGCGTCTCCCGTGTGGATGTTGATATAAGTTGTAGAATAAATGATGTAGGGTTACCTTTGTATCTTGGGGGGTTGGGAGGTGGTCACAGAGGCAATCGCATTATAACAATGGGCAAACGAGGAGCGCTGAGGGGGGGATATCGATGCTAATACAGCTTCTCTCGCGGACAAGGACTTCTTCGTGAGCTCCCTAAAAGCACCAGGTGTTAGCCCCTTGAAATCCTGTGACAGGCGCTTCCCCTGTAGAAGAAAAAGCTGGGGAAGTTCCGTTGCTGTTTCTTTGTGTTCTGGTGGCGGAGAAGACGAAAAACAGAGGAACTCACGGCTCAGGATCGCGGCGGGTGCAGAGACAGCAGGAATCAGTCTGACCTTCTGGCGGACAGCCTGAGAAAAGCGCCTGTTTTATGGCGGGCTTTGAGGATGTTGATCTGCTCCGTCTCACAGGCTCTGCTGGATTATCTAGTTCGCGGCTTTGCTTACTTTGAGCGAGGCCGGCGTTGCCAGGGTAACAATCACGTGATCGGGTGTTTTCCAGGTTCCATTAGGGTTTACATGTTACATGTAAGTAAGTATCTGGGGATGAGATGGTTATACGATAGCTACACGATGCATGAGTGAAACGATGGCTAGAGGTGGGACAAAGATGTATAAAGACCGGCTAGTTCAGGCTGAGGCCTTTACCAATAAGCTCCTGGCCGATCTCCTGCAACAGGGCCTTCTCCTTCTTGAAAGCATCGAGTGCTGTCTTCTCTGATATTATCGACTCAACCTCCAGCGCCATGCATAGCTCTACCACCTCACCCTCAGTCGGTGCATGGTGTACTAGGAGGCCAAGTGATAGAAGTAAGCCGTGCAGGGTTTCGGGACTCTCCTTCTCAGCCCGGATAGCCTCGACTACTGACGCAACTAGCTCAAACTGGTCAGCTTCTGGTAGACTTTCCGCCTCTGGTGGATCAAGCAGCCTCTTATTGTGATTAGCCGCGGCAAGATTGAAGATAAGAGATGTGCCCGTTGCCCTGAGACTGCTGCGGTGGTCTAGTAGGGCATTTGTTGCAAGCTTGATGCAAGTGTGGCGGAGGGCGTCATGACTTGAAAGCTGAGTTAGGTAGAGGTGAGATGTAAACAGGTTGCACGCTAGATGTGTCATAACAAGCTGTTGGCTGTATGGGGTGTCCGCAAGGTCATTCGCTCGAGACAGGAGAGTCAATATGGTTCCATGGCCGTGTTCCTCAGCAAAGTATCCGCTAACTCTCGGGTCGGCAAATGCGACTCGAAAGAGGTCCAGAATGGCAAAATGTGTTTCTGCCGGAAGGGAGAGGAACTTCGTCTTCACAAAGAAGGTAAGTTGGCTGAGGTCCGGCAATGGAGGTTTTGGCTGGTCGGTATTCGATGCTTTGATAAAGTTGACCAAGGCAACGATGTTGGCATCGCTAGCAGCAGCACCGACCTTTGACAATAGTTTATCTAAGGGGGGAACCTTCCTGTAGGAAATATATTGATCGATATGACGCTCTAAACTCGGAAGTTTGAGGCTGGAGTGAGGGTGCGGCGGCCAGGCCATCCGTAGAAGCAGCTGCACGTTTCCTCGAAGTTCTGCTGGATTTGCACCAGACCACTGGTTCTCTTTTTTGCCCTTTAGATAGGTAATAAAAGTTGGGGTTGCCCTCACTTGGTAATGAGAAGACACATCATATGCTCGGCCAATATCCACCTTAATTAGGACGGCTTTGCTGCCAGCTTCTTCTGCGAGTTCGTCATAGGTTGGGTATACTAATTTGCAAGGAGGACAGGTGGAGGAAGTGAAGAATATAACAGCACACGAGGATTTTGCCGATGCAAGTAGACTTTCGACCTCCCCAAGCGTTGAGGCATTCCGGACCTGGCCTCTCGGAGGCTGATGGGCTAGATTGGTCCCCGCTACCGCTTCTCTTGCCGGAACTGATACAGGCGTAGGCTGAATATCAGGCCCCTGGGTAGCCCCGCGGAGCATACCATCAATATAAGGTTTCATCATCTGGCCGAAGGGGGTATTAAGAAAGGTCTCCGGGAGATTTCTGATGTGATCTGGAATCCCCTTGCCAACCAGAAACGTAGCTAAGTCGTGAGTGAAATTGTTACAGTTCCGAAGGAACAGGTCGTATGACTGAGACGAATAGAATGTTAGAGCTCCGCCTCAAATTTATGTATGAAGGTGGATGGGTATATCATACACTCTCATGGTAAG